GAAATTTTAACAACACGAAACTAGTGGAGCCAACTATGATTGAACGACAAGTTGTTGTTAAGCATCTCGATATGATATGGTCCAAGTTGCCTTGTTTGAGATCTAATTATAGGTGGAGACATGAAAGGAATTATGATAAATTCTCCTTATGATGTGTTTCAAGAGTCAAATGAGAACAGACGTTTCCCTGCTGAATTTGGCATATTTACATCTACATTTTTCAAAGATGATAGATTCTCTCTTCAAAGATGATAGATTCTCTTTTTAAAAATGATAGATTCTCTTTTCAAAGATGAAAGCTTTATTGAATTTCTACACAAGTCCCGACAAAGAAAGCTGGTTTTATCCAAGACAAAATGGGGTATCAAAGTCATAATTCTGACTACAGCAAGAGTTCCACAAATGAAACATTTCTTCTGAGACTTTAATGCAAAAGAAGAAGACACAAATATACAAGATTAATTAGATGGTTCTTCAGCTTTATGGCATAGGTTGCTACACTGATATTCGAAGGTAATCCTGACAATAAATGATGAAGTGAAGGAAGACCTAGTTCACCACTTTGAAGTCAAATGAAGATTGCATCAACATTCATGCATTCATAAGAATATCATTTACACAATAGACAATGCATTACATTGATACATATGGTTGCATTCAAACATGAAGTTTTACAGATCTTTGTATGAACAAGAAGATTCATGGTAAAAAATACCTTACAAGAAGAAGGTATTCAAAACCGCAAATACAGGAATCACGCCAACATCTGAAGAATAGATGGACGCAATCAACAAGAATGAACATTATCTTGAGATTGGGTCATGTTACCCAATCAACATGTTATTTTGAAAAATAATGAGAAAACGATTTCCATAGTTTCTCATTCAATCTTTTCTAAAAATGAAATTGTTGAAAAGTAAGAAAACGATTTTCATAGTTTCTTACTTAGTAAACTATTTCCCACATCTGTAAGTCCTACAGTGCATGTTGTTTCCAAAAAGCCTTCGGGAGCTTTTTGATGTTTTTAAAAACCTTCGGGTCATCTGTAAGCCCTTCAGTGCATGATGTTTTCAAAACCTTCGGGTAATCTGTAAATCTTTCAGTGCATAATGTTTTCAAAAACCTTCGGGTCATCTGTAAGCCCTTCAGTGCATGATGTTTTCAAAGCCTTAGGGTCATCTGTAAGTCCTGCAGTGCATGATGTTTCCAAAAAGCCTTCGGAAGCTTTTTGATGTTTTAAAGCCTTAGGGTCATCTGTAAGTCCTGCAGTGCATGATGTTTCCAAAAAGCCTTCGGGAGCTTTTTGATGTTTTCAAAGCCTTAGGGTCATATGTAAGTCCTGCAGTGCATGATGTTTCCAAAAAACATTCGGGAGCTTTTTGATGTTTTCAAAGCCTTAGGGTCATCTGTAAGTCCTGCAGTGCATGATGTTTCCAAAAAGCCTTCGGGAGCTTTTTGATGTTTTCAAAGCCTTAGGGTCATCTGTAAGTCCTGGAGTGCATGATGTTTCCAAAAAGTCTTCGGGAGCTTTTTGATGTTTTCAAAGCCTTAGGGTCATCTGTAAGTCCTACAGTGCATGATGTTTCCAAAAAGCCTTCGGGAGCTTTTTGATGTTTTCAAAGCCTTAGGGTCATCTGTAAGTCTTACAGTGCATGATGTTTCCAAAAAGCCTTCGGGAGTTTTTGATGTTTTCAAAGCCTTAGGGTCATCTGTAAGTCCTGCAGTGCATGATGTTTCCAAAAAGCCTTCGGGAGCTTTTTGATGTTTTCAAAGCCTTAGGGTCATCTGTAAGTCCTGCAGTGCATGATGTTTCCAAAAAGCCTTCGGGAGCTTTTTGATGTTTTCAAAGCCTTCGGGTCATCTGTAAGCCCTTCAGTGCATGATGTTTTCAAAGCCTTAGGGTCATCTGTAAGTCCTGCAGTGCATGATGTTTCCAAAAAGCCTTCGGGAGCTTTTTGATGTTTTCAAAGCCTTAGGGTCATCTGTAAGTCCTGTAGTGCATGATGTTTCCAAAAAGCCTTCGGGAGCTTTTTGATGTTTTCAAAGCCTTAGGGTCATCTGTAAGTCTTGCAGTGCATGATGTTTCCAAAAAGCCTTCGGGTCATCTGTAAGCCCTTTAGTGTATGATGTTTTCAACATTACCATCGTACTCAAAAGAAGCCAAATGAAAAATTATTGTCATTTTCGTCTTTGCTCTATTCTTGTTAACACAAGAATGAACAAAGAGGGGCAGTTGTAGACATTAATTTTTCATTCTATTATTATTATTATATTATTATTTATATTACTATATATATTATTATTATTAAATAAATATATATATATACAAGCCTAATTTACAAATAGCCCAACCCGATTACAATCGGAGCCCAAAAAAACTGAAGCCCAAACACGGAAGCCCATATTTGATGACCCAACAGTAACCCTAAACCCATCTAGGGTTTGTGTCATCACCAACAGCCGCCTCTCCAAGCTTTCAGAAGACCCCAGCCGCTCCACGTTGACTATTCATCTTCCAGCCGCCTCGCCAGAAACCTATACGTCGTTCTGTCGTTGCCACGACACCAAACGAGGATTCCAGAAGCTAGCTGCCCCCCACACGTTGATGCCCCAGGGTGAGTCACCATATAGTTCGGTGACTCACCGAAATCCGCTCTTATGACCGGTCCGAGACAAGCTCCGACGAGGCCTGTAAAAGCCACTAGTTCCCTGCAAACAAAAAAATAGGGAGGAGGAACAGAAAAAGAAAGAACAGAGAGCCACGGACGGGAAGGGAGAACCCACTACAAGCAGTAAACCAAAACAGAAAACAAAGAAAGAAGAAAGAAACTTACCCTTGGAGCCTTGACCATCGCCGGAGGCACTAAACATCGCCGGAGAACAGAAAATACCGAAGGTATTTTCATAGATCTACTCCGATTAAGGTTCTTTTAGGGGAAACTAAGGCCGGACTCGACCTTGGGAAAATCAGGGTTGTATTTTAGTGGAAAAAAATTTTCCGGCCACCGAAGGCGGTGGCCGGCGACAGAGTTAACAGTGGCAGACGACTGCCGACCGGTGGCCGGTCGTCCTCCGGTTGGAGGAATCTAGAGAGAGGCGAGAGAGAAATCTCTCTCAGTTCTAGAGAGAGAGAAGAAATGAATGAAATGAGAAGATGGCCCTTCGGGCCAGCCATAATAGGGTATTTATACCCTCTCTTAAACGGCGTCGTTTAAGGGAGGACCTGTGTGTAATTTGATAAGGGTAAAACCCTTTCCGCAGCCATTATAATTTTATAACTTTATATTTTAGTCATTGAATCCAATTTTAGATCTTTATAATTCGGTTCTTTAATTTTAATTTTATTTATTTTAGTCTTTTATATTAAATAATATATTTAGGATAAATATTGAAATGACCATCCAGCTCAGTTGGTAGAGCACAAGGTTCTTAACTTTGAGGTCGTGGGATCGAATCCCATGGAGGGCATTTCATAATTCGGAGGTCTCCTACGGAAGCTGCTCTCAATTTAGTGTTGGGGGCAGCCTACTATCTTACCTCCCCTTACCCCATACATATGGGAAAAAAGGGATAACCATTTAGGATAAATATCGCATTTAGTCCCTCATAATTTTATAAATTTTATTTTAGCCCTGAATAAATAATTAAAGTTAAATTAAACTATTAGGATATAGATTTCTTAATATTTCAAATTTGATCTTTTATTTTCAATACTTTATATTTTGATCATATAATTTTAATTTTATTTGTTTTTAATACATTGCAATTTTATTGTTATATATTTAAATTAGTAATTATTATTATTATTTTAATCATTTTAATATATATTATTTGATTAATTTTATAAAAAAATTTATAATAGTATTTATTTATTTTTTTATATATCAAAGAAAGGGGCAGTTTAAAGCAACTAGATGTCCGTTTTCTGATATTTTTAAATAAATAAATATTTTACTTTTATAAAATTGTATATATTAATCTATTTTTTTATTATTAGATAAATGATTTAATATTTATTTATTTTTTAATATCAAAGGAAAGAACTGTCTTAAAGCACCTAGAAGCCCTTTTCTGATATTTTTAAATAAATAAATATCTTATTTATATATATAAATTAATAAATTTTCTTAAAATTATAGTAATAAATTTAAATTAAATAGGATTATAAATTAAATATATCTTCGAATTTTTAAATTTCTAATAATAGAGACAATTTATAATTAATAAGTATCAATTTTGGGCGTTGTAGGGGTGCTAATCCTTCCCTAAACGTAACCGACCACGAATACATTTTTATTATTAAAAAGAACGAATTTTTGGTTAAAACGCAGATCAGTTTATCTTTTAATCGATGTTTTCTTAAAAACTCTTTTAAATGATGATTTTTAGGTATTCGACCTACTTAACCCAAAAGGCCAATGGCGACTCCCAAATTATTTTAAAAACCATTTATTCATATCACTTTTCCTGCCAAGTAAAAATTTCGTGCCCGGACGAAAAAGGTTACGACAAATAGTATTAAATGATATAATAATAATAATAATTCAAAATCATTTTTAATTATTGATAGTCTATTCAATGAATTTTATAATTATTTAAAATTAATATATTATATTTGTTAAAAAAATTCTTCAGCTATGTAACTTCTTTATGAGGAATTCTTATGAAACATAAAAAAAACAAGTTTTTATTTTTATGGGGAATTCTTATAAAACATCTTTTATTTTTAGAAAAAAAATTAACTTTTTAATTTTAAATTCAAATAATTTAAAAGAGGAGGGCAAAATGAAAGAAAGGAAACAAGGAAGGAGAAAAGTGGAAAAGAGGGTAGAGAGATACATGAGTGAAAAATCAGGTGGGATCATTCATTACAATAACGAAGTTGCGTGCGGGTCGGAATTATTACAAAAGGAATTATGCAGAATTATTACAAAAGGATGGTAATAATTCCAGCCTACGTGGCGATATGTGACTGGCTAACTCACGAGAAAGAGAAAAGGAGAGAGAAGAAGAAGCATTTTTGTTGTTGGAGTAGAGAGGGGGTTATTGGGGCATGGAACGGAGCCATGCTTAGGCAGGTAATCGGTCAGCTTCAAGACCTCTAGCATATCTACGGCTCTCCTCCTCCGCCGTCGCCTACTTTCCACCTTCTTCACTTTCACCAACTGCCTCTTCCGTCCGACGACAACCACCGCAGGTTCTTTCCGTTTCGCTTCGTGTCTTTCTGTTGATAGATCTCTTCAATTTTCGTTTCGTCTCCCTCACCTTGCGTTTTTTCATGCGTTTATTTTGAAATCTCGTTAGATTTGTCCACTCGGGTTCTGCAATTTCTCGATTCTTTTTTTGTTTTTGGTGAATTAGTAGTCGTAGATTATATTGTGTTCATTTTTTATGCGACGGTGTTAGTTTCTCCCCTTGCATTTCTCGTTCTTTAGATTTTATTTTGTTTTCTGCTATGCCACTGTCGATTTTTAGGGGATTTCGCGTGTTTATTGCATTATTTTTGGGCATATATTTTGGTGAGTTTACACTAAATTTGAGTTTTCAAATTATTCTTTCATCGTTGTGAATCATGTAGATTCTTTTTTACCCTTTTTTGCATTTGTGTTCCTTTCCCCTTTTGCAGTTTTCTGTTTGCTTTATCCACCTCCTCTTTATTAAGGGTTGGCGCTCTGCTTTTTTACGTCTCGTGATGGTCAATTTTGAACTTGCTGGGCATACCTTTTGGTAATTGATGCTTGAATATCTTTCATCTTGGTTGATTAGCAAGTGATTATGGTTGACCATGAAGATGGAATCTCCTTTACATTTGTTCCTGAGGAAAAGAAAAAACATGGACTTACACCCATAATTCTTGATTAATTATTAGTCCACTGGCAAGTGACAATCAACTATTTTCAAATTTCTTTTTCCTTCCTATAACCGAACGAAACGGGAAGTTAAATTACTAATTCTACAAAACCCTGGGGTTTTCATGTAACAAAGAGTTGTTGGACTACTCATGTGAAGGTCTTCTTAGAATTCTTTTCAATCATGACGTGTAGCTTGCCTGTGCTCATTTCATTTGTAATTACTGCTGCCCCATTGTTAATATTTATACCGTTGGTGTCGTCTCTCTCTCTCTCTCTCAATGTTCCTGCATAGGCATGTTTTGCGCAAAAACATTCATGGCAATTTCACAGAGCACATAGTTGAAAGCTTCTTTTTGTAGTGCATTTAGTTGATATTGCTGTCAACATACTATGGTATGTATGGCTAGATGCATGGGGTCTTTGGCTGTGCAGTGAATTGAGCTTTTGGGTTCTTTTCAAACGGTACGTTAAAGGCGAATCCATAAAAATGACCAAAAGAACTGACCGACTGGTGAAAGCAATCACAATGAATTGTGATGATCACTTTCCAGTTGTACAATTCTACTCTGTTGCAACTGAGATGAAGGTCTAAACCTTGCATTCATGTCCTTGATGGTCCAAATTTGAGCATCAAATGCATAAAGGAACTTAAATTTATACGGAGATTAGTTACTAGAGATTGCAATAGACTTATCAGGCATGTCTTCTTCAAAAAGGACTTAACAAGGCATTTCTTCTTCAAATCCAAAGGACTTAACAGCTCAATACCTGTTATATTTCAAGTATATCTTCTTTCATTTTGGTAGCCATAAAAAATTAGGGTATGCTATAGCTTCCATAGGCATCTCGTATCCACATAATCCAAATACGAGGCAATTCCTGGTGTTGATCAAGATCAATATATCTACGGTTAATTTATCTTCTTTCATATATTAATCATGAAACATTAGCGAAAGTTAAGGTTTATTTGTTTTGTGGAAAATGCCATCCGAATAATGATTTACCTTATATATATAGACATTTCATGACAAAATAGCTTGATCACGAGAAAATGAACTTGAAAACGTTAGGGCATTAATGCCACCATATGAACCCATGGTCATTCGGCAGCTTGGGTTTGGACATTAGTATGCCCATATATTTTCTACAAAATAACCAAACAATAGATGTTTTTTATCTTCATCCAAACAGAAATTGTGAGCTTTATTTTTTCTCTGAAAATGAGCTCATCCTGTGAGAGTCATTTTTTGCAAAGGTTATTGTTAAGGTTTTTTCTAACATAAAAGTTAGGCGGTCAACGTCAAACTCACTAAGGTGCATTTGAGATTCATTTTTAATGAAAATCACATAAATATGAAGATGTTTTATCATGGCTGGAGAGTGCAATATCTTGTGGCATGATAGTCATGCTTGGGTTTAGCTTTATTTTAATGACCATAAAAATGCTTATCTTGCGAAGGCCAGCAGTATAGCCTTAACTGAAATCATGTGACAGGTTGGACCAAGTTCAAAGATGATGTGAATATTGAAATTGAACACCTGATGGGTTGCTAGTTACTTGCATGATCACATACGATGTTTTATTATAATCTGTAGCATTTATAAATTGGTTATGTGAATCATGTTGCTCTGGGCACATAAGGCTTCTTTGGCAACTTATTTTGTGTGTGTGGAATTTTGAGTAATGGGAGGATATTGTACATGTCTTTTTATTCCCCCCCCCTGTTTCTCTCAGGTGAGTGGCAATCTTAATTAAACTACCATCATACATTGCAAAAGATAATCCGAGATTGCTGAAAGCCAACCATGAATGAGATTGCTGTAAACATTTTAGAATCTGTTCACTCTTAAGATCATGGTTCATGATTATCAAGATGTTGACAATGTTTGCATTATGCGTTAAGGGCGTTGGAGTTTCGTTTAACTGTGTTTTGTATGGTTTGGGATCATGTAACAACCTAATAATATTTGAATGGGTAAATTATAGATTTTACCAAAAAAAATAGGAAAGACTGGCGGTCAGGAACATTTGCTGCAGGAATTTATTGATAGGATGTGAGAATAGTTGATGAATTATCTCATTATGCCTTAGTAAATTGAACAGTTCAGAATTATTGTTGCTATTGATTTAGACGTGTTTAATCTGACTGATCTAGAATTTGTTGATAGTTATCTACTAATCATTCAAGTTGTTCCTAATGTAATTAGAAAGTTGCAAACTTGATAACTGATGTTAGCTTTCATACAGGTGGTGTTTTCCCAATATCGATGATTCTTCTTCCGAGGATTGCTACAGTTTTGTGATGGCTGCAGGGAAATCTGGAAACTGTGAGATGTTGGAACCTTTCAAGCCTCCACCAAGCAAGAAATCGCGCAAGGAGCGGAACCGGGGGAAATTGAATGGAAATACCCCTACACCAGTAGTTATGGTGCAAGAAATTTGGAAAGAATTCCCCGAAGACCTCTTTGAAGCTGTTATTGCTAGACTACCCATTGCCACATTTTTCCGCTTTCGCTCTGTCTGCCATAAATGGAATTCCTTACTGGAATCTCAAAGTTTCTCTCAGCATTGTGAGGGAATCCCGCAGTCCAATCCCTGGTTCTATACCATTACTCATGAAAATATGAATGTTGGAGCCATGTACGACCCTTCCACAAGGAAGTGGCACCACCCCACGATCTGTTTTCTGCCAGCAAAGATGATTGCTCTGCCGGTTGCTTCTGTAGGTGGTCTAGTTTGCTTTCTTGATATTGGTCATAGGAACTTCTATGTCTGCAACCCTTTGACTCAATCATTTAAAGAGTTGCCGGCAAGGTCAGTTAAAGTGTGGTCGCGTGTTGCTGTGGGAATGACTCTGAATGCAAATTCAACCAGTGAAGGCTATAAGATCCTGTGGGTGGGGTGTGATGGGGAGTATGAAATTTATGACTCGGTTATGAATTCGTGGAGCCGACCAGGAAGCATGCCCTTGAACATCAAGCTACCACTATCGCTGAACTTTCGGTCACAAGCAATTTCCATTGATAACACACTTTACTTCATGCAGTCAGACCCTGAAGGGATTGTGTCCTACAATATGGTTACTGGGGTATGGAAGCAATATATAATCCCGGCCCCGGTACATCTGAGTGACCACACACTTGCCGAGTGCAACGGCAAGATCATGCTTGTGGGACTGCTGACAAAAAATGCTGCTACGTGTGTGTGCATATGGGAGCTGCAGAAGATGACGCTTTTGTGGAAGGAGGTGGACAGAATGCCAAATATATGGTGCTTAGAGTTTTACGGGAAGCACGTTCGAATGAGTTGCCTGGGCAACAAAGGTTTGCTCATGTTGTCATTGAGATCGAGACAAATGAACCGGTTGGTTACGTATAATGTGATAAGCAGGGAGTGGCTGAAGGTTCCTGGATGTATTCTACCAAGAGGAAGAAAGCGACAGTGGATAGCATGTGGCACAGCCTTTCACCCCTGCCTGACTGCTACTGCTTGATATCCATCCCCTTCTCTCTGTTTCTAGCAGCAACAGCATCTCAAAGAAAGTTTTTTTCTTCCTATTTTTCCGGCTGGTAACGAGCTTTTGCTGCCGGTTCCTCTCCGGTTGGATTTTCGTTGTCGTTTTAAAGGGGTTAAACAAGATTGGCCATTTTCCCTTTTGTTTTTCTTGTACAAACACGTGGGTGAATAACTTTAGTTTCCCCGGAGACCCTGTCCCAAGTGAAATATGTTTAGACTGTTTAAATGTTCAATTATGCTGAATTGATATAATATTTACACGGAGAATTGAATGGTCAATGGCCTCTTGATGGGTATAATTATATATTGACAGGAAGTTTAGTTATATTATATGGTTGGCCTGGCGGTGTTTGTAAAATATTGTGAAAACTGAACGCCTCATTCAGCCTTAAGAGTCAAATGACCTAACGTGAAAATATTGACGTCAATTGGCACATTTCAAGATTTTATGATTGTTAGGGACTATAATGAATAAACGATCATAAAACAGTAAGGAATAAAGATAAACACATAAATTTAAGGTATATATATAGACGGTTTATACAAATATAGTGATCCTAGTTAAATAAGACTGTATCAAGCTACAAGGACGGAGTCCCTGCATCCCCAATGATATTAACCGGGAAAACTTCATATTCATTATAAATCTTCATTTTTATTTCAATTTACTCCTTCATTAAGCGGATTATATCATAAACTTTTACATCAAATCGGACCAAATTTGAGCACAAACTCTACTAACGATATTTAATCTTTAAAATCAAAGCTTCCAAACATTAGAATAGATTATAAGTCGAGGATAGACCGAAGGGGTGTAGTTGAACCCCCAAGAAATTTCAAATCCCCTTATATTTTAGGTATTTTCTTTATTTTTTATGGATTAGCTTATTTTGCACTACTAAAATTAGCTTACCCTATTCCCATATGTAATGGGATAAGGGGGAAGTAGGATAGTAGGCTGCCCCCAACGCCAGGTTGAGAGGCAGTCAAAATTATGAATTGCCCACCGTGGGACTCGATCCCACGACCACAAGGTTAAGAGCCTTGCGCTCTTACCAACTGAGATGGACGGGCAATTTAATAATATTACACCTATAAAATTTCGATATAATTTCTTAAGTTCCCACCCAAACAAAAATTTCTACTTCTCAAGTTTACACCCCAAACAAAATTTTCTACTTCTCAAATTTACACCCCTAACAAAAATTTCTACGTCCGTATATGTGATAAATATCATATGAATGGTTATATAATTTTTGTTCTGGTATTAGTATCAAAGTGTGTTAATGTACTGTTTTCATATGAATGGTTATATAATTTTTGTTCCGGTATTAGTATCAAAGTGTTTTAATGTACCGTTTCAAAGTATTTGCAGCGATGCATTTTCCTTTTGTGTCAGCAGCTAATCGAACAGCCCTTGGAATCCCCCACCCAAACTGCTCCTCCGCAGGCTACGAACTTCGTGGCTTATCCGATCAAACCAGCCGCAAAAGCTGAGGCATTAGGCTATTAATCATACATTGTTGATGAGAAAAACGGCGTGCAGGCGGCTTAATGCCTCTCTTATGAGATACATATGCATATATCTCAATGAGATATTTTAGCGTACATAACTCGGTGAGACATTGACAGAGCTACGATGAATTAGACACCATTGACGGTGAATCGGGTTTGTTTTAACATCAAGTGGGAATAAGAGGTTCTTTTATGGTATGCTTTTGGTCTATTTCACACTTTTTATTCAGAAATGAAACAGGAAAAAAGCAGGATAAAGCAAATAAAACAAAAGACGAGAAAGGGAGGCTTTATTCAAATTCCGAATGTGTCACAGCACGAGTTAAAACATATCTAGTAAATATAACATCAGTTCACTACAAAAAGAACAAGAACATGTCTTCTCTGCAATTCCTTAACATGGGTTATAGGCCAGACTTACGCCATGCCTCCGCTTGTTGCCGTCCTGATAATCTGGAAGAGAGCTGAAACAACGACGAAAAAGAATTTGATCACACAACTAAAACAATTGAAACCCGAGGTTCCGATCGCAACATCGAAGATAGTTTACAATACAAGAAAACTCAAGAAGGTACAAATGCCAAAATTAGCATTTTTCATTGATGAAACAAGACATTATCCCTACGCAATTACACAGATCCAATGTCGACGAACATGAAGGTGCTGATCATATCAGAAGCAAAAATAATGAAATGGATTCACTATACCGAAAGTCAATGGTGAATATCTAAGGAAATATGAAGGCGAAAAGATTTGTAGCCAAGAATCTTACATGATCCAATGACGACGAATATGAAGAAACCAAGCAACATGGGACCAACGGGATAATCATTCCCCTTCTTTGTCGTTGTTTCAGGCACAGATCCTCTTTTTGTTATGTTCCTCTCGAACTTCCCCACTTTCCTGTCTGCAAGGCGCCTTGATGTTGTCTGCCCAAACCAGAATAAAGGAATCCCGTTTAAAATTATACTTTATATATATAAATGGATCCCTTATACATTTGGCTGAAGAGCAAATCAATGTTTTAAAAGTACACAAGTCAACCGATTACAGTTTTATTCATTTACTTCCTTCCAAAGTTAAATTTACAAACACCAAATCGCTCAATTTTATAGTAGATCAAACTAATTTGCTCATAAGCATATAGTACAGGAGCCGATAGCATTAAATTTCCCATTCAAAAACGGCTAAATCAAGGTCTGTCTAGCTAAATTATTAAAAAAAACACACACATACATGATTAAATCATTAGGCATATGAATATCCTAAAACAGAAGATCTATAAAACTATAGAATCGATTATACTCGGAAAAATTACTAAGACGGGAAAGAAAGCATAGATCAGATCTGATTCAGATATAATCAGATAAAAAAACAGAGATCGGCATGAAAATCGAATATCACATAGAGTAAAGGACAGAGATAATGAAGAGGTTTACCATGATAACGAAGCGATAAGGTAGCCGATCGAGAAAGTGAATGAAATTTCCGGCGAAATTCTCCTCTCTTCCCTTTACGGCGACGGAGCTCTTTTTTTCAGTCCTCGCCTCGAAACCGGGGCTTGTTTTTAAATCACGTTGGGCTAACTAATTCATCCGCGCTTTGCGCTAAAAAAGGGGTGATTGACTTTGCCCTGATTGGTTGGGTGACGCAATAATGCAAACGTGGCGCGATTTAATTGGTTGATTCTGTACACGAAGACGTGTCTGCTTTTATTTGAATATGTGTGGTCAACCGTCTCTCGATGTTGTTTTGTTTTTCATTCAAAAACCATCCAACAATGGGCAAATAATATTTTATTACTTTGGATAATTAATTTAATATTATATCAATAAATAGCAGAAAAATAATTAAATTAGAGGCTTAATATATAAAAGTAAAAAGTATGATTGAAAAAATAGCGACCCAAAATAAAAAATGAGATTAAAAATTAGGGATTTCAATTTTAAAGATAAAAAGTAAAATTGAAAAATTTATATGCATAAATTATATAAGTAAAAAATGATACTGAAAAAATTAAGGCCTCAATTGTAAAGCTAAAAAATAAAATTTAAAAAATTAGAGGCTTCAATTATAAAGGTAGAAAGTAAGATGAAAAAATTTAAGAACTTAATTATAAATGTGCAAAATATAATTGAAAAATTAGGATTATCAATTATAAATATAAAAAATGGGGTTAAAAAATTAGAACCTCAATTATAAAGATAAAAAGTATAATTATAAAAATTAAGGACCTCGATTATAAAAATAAAAAATTAAATTACTTAATTATAAAAAATAAAAAATTAGAGACTCGTAAAAGATGGTCCAAGAGCAATTGCTGAGAGTACACCCTTAATAGCCCGGGCAGACACGAGAAGACTATGTACATAGTGCTTTTGCATACACGAAGAGAACAAATTCGGACCAACTGGAATATATATAATTAAAATAAAATAAAATCATTACAATACACATATACAAAATTAAATTTTTTAATTAAATATATTAATTTTTAATGAACAAGCTATAAGAATATAAGATTAATCATTTTTATTTAAATTTTATATATTTTTCTTAAGTGAATTAAAAATATTTCATTATTTTTATTTAATTAAATTATGTTCATATTCATTTTATTTAATCAAAATATGATATTTATCTTATCTACTTGTAAATGTTTAGTCGCTTAAATTTTAATTATTGTTAGTGAGGAAAAGTGAGAAATTAAATAAAAGTTATTATGTCTTAGTTAAACAAAAACGAAAATAATTAAATTTTATATTTTTTGAATTTAAAAAAAAGTGTACAAAATTATCAATCTTATAATCTATCCTTTTTCTAATTATTACGTAATTTTTTTCCAAATATTAGTTATATGTAATTTAATTGAATTTAATTAACTAACTGACTAAAATTTATACAACTTGTTTTTGAACTTCTAAATCTTAAATTAAATGGTCTCATTAATAATATTTTTTTAAATAGTTAGAATTCAAATTATATTATTTGCCCGTATGTACACGTTTAAATGTATATCTTTTAAAAGAATAAACTTTATCAACCTTAAATTTTAAAGGGTAAAATATACAAATAGTCGTTTAATTATATGACATTGTTTTATTATGTTTGCTATTATTAAAAGTCATAAAATGATAATTAAACTATAGGATATGACTTTGTTGAGTCCTTCAACTTTTAAAAGTTGTAAAATGATCACATATTATTCATTATGTTATAATCTCATTATTTTTTGTTGAACTATATTTTAATATAACAATTAAGGCAAAATATTTTTTAACTTGAATTGAATTTATTCAAAGTTTTTCAAAGTTTTCAAAAATAATTCAAAGTCCATTTAAAAGTGGAATTGAGCATAAAATGATTTTCTGGACAAGAAGTATTGATATTGTTCTTACAGTATCGATACGTAATGAACAATACCGATACAATCCATATGGTACCGATACCAAAGGTAAGGGAAGTATCGATACTCACTAGGTAGTACCGATACTACCAGCATTGCTCAAATTCCAGAATGTAAAAATGGTATCGATACTCAAAATGGTACCGATACTATTTCGTATAGTAGTATTGATACCATAGACATAGTATCGATACCATTAGGCCCCAAAGGATAGTAATGACTAGTTGATTTAAATATAACAAAGGTAGTACTGATACTCCTTTTATGAGTATCGATACCCTCTGTTCTGGGCTGCTTTATTTTGCACGAAAATTGATACCCAACGGCTCCAAACCACCTCTAATAGCTAGAAACGGCCACAACAACATTCCAACATATAAATACAAGTTGAGGACACTTGAAGAAGGTTTTTCAATCTTATTTTAATTCTCTCTCGTAAATATTTGTTGTTGTGAGCTAATTTTTGTAAACACCCTACCTTGTAGAGGTTTATTTGTTTACTTCTTTTTATCCTTTTTGCTTCTTTTTATCCTTTTTGTAAAGGAGTTTGTTCTATCTTAACCAAGTGAAAAAGACATGGAGTGTAAAGGTTATCTCTTTGTCCTTAAAAAAAATAACAAATTAGTGAATTTGTTAGAAAATCCTTAGTGATGAGCTAAGGTAATTAATGTAGGCTTGGTTGATAAGTCGAACCACTCTAAATCTTTGTGTCAAATTTCTCTATCTTTTGCTCTCCTTACTCCCTAATTAAATTATTTTCAATTAACCCCCTTTTACATTTTCGGTTGATCTAATTGAGTCTCTTCAAAATCCTAACAATTTTTCGTTAAAAATTTGATGATAGTCTAAGTTGGATGTTAATCTACTGAATTATATATGATAAAATCTTATTTTAGAATCTTAAAAGACTATTATATCTCAGTCAGTATATTAACGTCCAACTCAAACGATCATCAATATTTCAAAAGAAAATTTAAATTTGAAACATAATAAATGTAACAACCCGATTTTCAAAATAATATTTAATTAAAATTTGAGGGTTTAATTGTGAAAATTTGGGACTGAATTGAAAGATTTTAAAACTTGGAGCTTTTTTTGAAGTTAAAGAAAATTCAGGGACCAAGCCCTGAATTTAACCATGGAGTGTCGGCAGACAATTGATATATGCGTGATTTCTGTTTTGAAAAACAGAAATCAATTTCACAAATCCTTCCTCACGCACACAACTTCCAAACTCGATTCCGACGCCGTCCGAATTCCGATCGTTGTTTTGAAACCACCGTTGTGTTCATCATCGAGCGAGGAGCAAAACCTTCAAATTAATTGAAGCGAAACGCGGCCAAACGTCGGGAATTTCCAGTCAAAGTAGCGACGGTTTTGTTAGCTCTATCGCCGAGAAAATCTTAAATTCACCGCTGATCGTTGCTCTGTTTACGACACCTCCCGCACCATCGTGTTCCTTGTGCCGTTCCGAGTTCATCGGTGTCAATCTTGTCCGCCGTAGACGGCGGCGCGTGAGGAGGTGGTGCAGTCAAAGATTCGGTCGATTTGAAATCGAGCTCTCCGCCGTTCAAAAATTTGAAGCGATCGTTGTAAGTATCTTGAAATCGCTCAAAATAATTTTTAGAAATTTTTCTGGGATTTTTAGGGCCCCGGAGGACGCCTCACGCGCCACACGCGCAGCCGCATGGCGAGTGGCTGCTGGAAACCGGTTCGACCGGTTTTCAACCGGTTCGAACCGGTTTGACCGGTCTGAATCGGTTTGACCGGTCTGACCCGACCCGACCGTTGACCCGACCCGACCCGACCGTTGGCCCGACCCGACCCGACCGTTGACCGTTGACTGTTGACCGTTGACCGTTGACTTTCTTTGACCAAAACTTAAAATGGCTTTGACCGAGCATTAAACGACCGTTAATCTTTCCCGAGTATACCTATCCTGATAGTTTTCGACGTGCCGAATCCGTTTCCGTGGTCTGTTTTGTCAAATTCGAATCCGAAGGTCTCCAAATCTACGGTCAAAGTGGTTGACTTTGACTTTGACCAAGAATCTGAATTTTCGAAAAGTCATACTTTATGTTTTTCGATGTCCTGATTCCGATTCCGCAGTCCGTTTGGCCAAATTTAGACTCGAAATACCCCAAAATGATAGTCAAACCTGAAAAATGCTTTATATACTTAAGAATTCTAGCTTGGAACAATTAAGTAAGATTTGGGGCTGATTAATTATTATTGTTTGAAGGTACAAGAGACTCTCCGGATCGTTCGATAGCTCGACCCAACTCTTCTAGATCAGTTAAACCATGTATACCAGTATTCACTCGTAAGACTCGTAAATTTTATGATTTTAGAGATTTATTTATGTTACCCATTAGTAATATAGTGATATTATAAATTAGGTTCGAAAACTGTAGCAGAGCGTGGTGAAACCAGCAATCAGTAGATCCACGATTTGAACATATTATCGAGGTGTGTTCCCTATTTATTACTGAACTGTTTTATTTGTTTTAATATGTGGTACACTGAATTCTTTGGTTTTCGTATTGTTGATGCACCGATTTAATGTGATGATTTTATGGATTATGACTGTTATCTGATAATTGTTTTGAAATGGTATATGATTACCATGTTTATGGATTTATGGAATTTATAACACGGTGCAATTGAATTTTTGGAATACGAATTTATAAAGTACAGCTCTGATCAAGCTGGAAAATTTTACAGACCTAATGTGACTCTTAGGTAGGCTCTGCGGCCCTGAGATTATTCTCGGGTAGGCCCTACGGCCCTAAGATGTGTTCTTAGGTAGGCCCCACGGCCCCGAAATCTATCTTGGGTAGGCTCTCAGGCCCTAAGATGTTCCCTTAGGGTAACGCTTTGTAAAGAGATTTACTGCAGTATAATTTTATGAGACTTTTTGGACTATGATATGTTTAGTGTACCTATAGTGATTTTATGGTAATATTGGGACACACTGAGCCTAGCTCACTTTTCGAAAATGTTTTTCCCCTTTCAGATACTGTTGGTTAGATACCCTGGATTGAGCACTTGGAGGATCAACATATCTCTTGAAGTATATCTGATTGTAATGTTTTTACCTTGCAAGTTGACTTTATTTTGTTGACATGGACCTTATTTTAAAGTATGGGATTTTAATATGATGAC